GCTAAAAACAGTTGACATATCCAATGGGCGTTGGCTGTGTGTGTGTGTGTGTTGGTTAGTGTCTGGGGGCTTTTACCGTGGCGTATTTTACCTGAGCTACCTGCTCGGCAAGCAACTCACTTGGCGCTCCTTAAAATGTCAAATGTTCTCGGGGACCATCCCATTCATCCATCCATCCGTTCTGTCCGTGCCCACATATGTTGTACCCATACCATCGAGAGCTGCTAATGGAAATTGCGGTTAGCGGAGGCGTTTGGCGACGACTTCCTGTCGTGCTGCTACTCCTCTGCCTGAAGAAATTTATGCTAAAAGGTTGCCAGTTTGACTTGGCGACGAGCTGGTCTTTCTCTTCCCCGAGATGTCTAGCAATTTAAGGCCTCCAATTCTTAGGGTTATCTATTTTGACTATAAGGTAGCAGCAAAAAAAACGAATTTCACTTATTCATATTCTAGAGCAATTTGCCTGTCCAGGCCCATCCTTATTCTCCGTCCGGATTGGAGTTCCCTCTCACCCACTGTCCATTGTCCGTGAGTGCGTGCGGCGCCTGAAAAAGCATTTTGTGTAAATGCGGCGCAAACAAGCTCGAGACTAATTACGACAGGGAGATAACAGCAAGCAGAGCTAGCCACGCCAGGACTCACAAGGATCCAGGATAATAATCTAAGCAAATTTATCAACACGGACATATATGGAAAAAAAATATGAAGGGCACAAAAACAGCAGACAGCAAGGGATATACGCAGCAAACAAGCGAGTGAAAAATTATGCGATGCGAACTCCAACGGAAAACACAGAGCTAGATGGGATTTTAGGAATGTGGGGGACTCGCAGCTAGGATTTATGCCTAGTGCTGTCCCTTTAGCTTTAAAGGGTTAACATTGGATAAACTCAAAACTAAAAATGTTAAAAACAAACTAATTACGTAAAAATTATTTGTAAACAATATATTTTTGGCGATTTTAAAAATAATTATGTCTTTGAAATCGATTAAATTCATAAAATCTATTTGTCGCGAAAAGTATATCGATAGTTAGTATTTTAGTTCAGTATTGTACTTGTGATTGTTTCTAATTGGCCACACTGTTGTTGTGGTCTAAAACTTTGTTAAGTTTGGCGCCTAGGGCATACCGATCGGTGATCCCCAGAATAAAGGAAGGATGTATTGAGGTAAGTATAAGTTAAGTTCATGCTAAATATAAGCATATATATATACATATATCCCACCAACAGAATAAAAAGCTCAGTACAACGCTAATTATTACGCCACAAGTTGGTAAAGGGTGGAGTGTTAGAGGCAACTTCCTGGATTTCGATCGGCGTCACTACTCTTACGAAATTCCGTAACTTTAATAACCTTTTCTAAGTCCTTATCTCTAATAACGAGTTAATTTTTCTTTCTAAAAGCCCAACACTGTTATTAACATGTTAACTTTGGGCTCGAACAAAAAGCCCGCCACGTGCTGTTGGCCAAATAAAACAGACAAATACAACGGCCAAGATAGGGCCTTCACGAACGACTCAGTCTGGCCCAAAACAGACAAAAGGATATTTGGGTGAGCCGCCTACTTTCCCAGGAACTGGAAAATCTGATTTCCTTTCTAGGCAAAGATCATTAGGGGAACACCGCCTACAAACAAATCCTGTGCAAATATTTGCCAAGGCATAACAAGTAAATTTGCGCGGGAGAAGATGTTGCAACATGGCCTAATCCCAGATCGTAATGTCCTAAGCCGGCTCGGGATTAAATTGGCTTAAATGGGACCATGAGCACAAAGGTGAAATGAATACAGTTCATCAAGGAATGATCCTTCGCATAATTTTGTGGCCTGGCGGGAAACCCCAAGAACCCAAAAACCGGAAAATGTGAAGCGGGAAACGAAACTCTTCCTCCGTCGAAGGAGAAGGCCACCATCAATCATCGTCAGGCTACGGGGCACATTAGCATTTATGAACTTTTTGGCCAAGTTGATTTTTTCCCAACTTGCCAAGGGCTGCGACTTGGTCTAGGATGGGTTGACTTTAATAGGATTTTCCATAATTTCATGCGCTTGTGCATATTTGGCAGTCAATTAATGTCAAACTAGTTTCAGGTTTCGCCTGCAATCGATCAAAATTTAAATGCAACCACCTCAGCGGTTTCTGCAATGAAGTAATTTGACATTATTCATATGACCCGAATGTTTTTATGAGCGATGATGTTACCCTCAACCTTATTAAAGGGCCGGAATACGAGGTGTTGATGTTGCCCCGATAAAGAAGTTGTGGGAATGCCTTTTGCTATCATTTAATGATTCGGTTTTTATTACTGTTGGCCATCAATTTGATATGGTGGTTAGGGTATTAATAGTGGTTCAGCCAGATGAAACTAATCTAGAAATTCATGGGAGAACTTCTTAAGATATTGCCTTCTGAAAAGTTCTTAATTAAGATTTGGATATTGATAAGAAAGGTAAAATTCAAGTCTTCATGCTGGGGAAACTTTGATCGTTTTTAAGGAGCATAAATAGATTCGATAGGCAGGTGAGGAAAGTTGTAAGTTTTTTTTCCCAATTTTTCCATATATTAAAATTAATCTTGAACCAATCCAATCTTCTTATGCTTTATAAATTCATAAGCCTTGCAAAAAGCATTTCATTAAGTTAATTAAAATAAACCGAAAATCCCCAACCAGTCAAATGGAATTTTGCATTTTCGTTTTCAGATTTTTTCCAGCGCTTTAGCATTATTAAAAGCGTCATTTTAAATGCCATTTTGCATTATGAATTTAATCCAATTGTTGATGGTGGAAAAAAAAACAACAACAAAGGACGGCAATAAAAACAGAGAAACAACAATCAAATGATACGGTAATTAGTTAATTTATAAATATCATATAAACTGCTCATTTATGAATTCAATTAATGTTCGCAGACGCGTGACCGAAGTGGATTAAACTCTAATTTAATAACCCAGCTGGTGGGTGCGCAAAAAAAGGAAAAACCAAAAGCAAAAACAAAGTGTTCGATTTTATTAAAATGAAAACCTCAGAATGCGTGACAGTTGCCGCACAATGATTTACACCACAGAACTGTTGTCATCGGTTATGGATACTATGTAAGTATATGGGATTTGAGCAGTATGCCGACACATGGCAGGGGATCGGTTGTCCACGAATCCTGCCCACAGATGCGTTTACAACTCACTAGAACGCCCAGCATATGTCATGGCTAGATGACTACTTAAGGGAGCTGTCAATTGCTGAGGATAATGTTTGACTCTGCCTCGTAATTTATGCATATACGGATCTCAAGTGGATCTGCTTCTCGGTATATGCCTGTGCACATCTGTGTAACCCTAGATCCCAGTACGCCCCCAGCTCCCAGTGCTCCTTCTTCTCCTTTATAAAGATCCCTTGTGGTTAGGCCCATGCCAAAACTCCGGGATAATCACATTGTTGACTGCTACTGCAACTAATTACAAATCAATTTGAACCAGCCCCCAAAGCCAAATGAATTCCGTAGAGAGTTTCCCAAGGCTAACCGCACAACGACACAGGAAGTGGGATCGTGGGGATAAGAACCTCCTTAACACCTGCCCGACCGCCTATTAAAATGTTATATGGCCAGTGTCTATGCCAAGTTTAAAAACAGAAAACACAAAAATAAATTGACATTTCAGCCTGGCCGTAAATCAAAGGAGACAACTTAGACATTCAACGATGTTGAAGTGACGAAATAGGCAGCAGAAAAAGTCATAAAAACCGAAGGAATCTAGAGGAGATGGATCACTTTTGATGGCTGTCTTTTATGATCCCACAATTGAGATATAGGAGAAGATGGAGATATGAAAGGTCTGTTGGAGGGCATTGCAGATATGTTTAAGGATGAAATGATGGATCTTGTTCTTGGACATGTGAGATAGGAGCTTATGATATGATAAGTTATAGGAAATTGTGGTAGATACTCTAGGTTGGTAATAATTTATCTGTCTTATAAAAGATGAAAGAATTTGGTTGTTGAAATAATTTGTTTATTTTAGAAATGTTTGAGCAAAAAAATAAAGTAAATAACTAACTTGCTAAGGAAATAATGAAAACCATTAAAGGTCTTTGGCAAATTTATTTTAAGGATCAGACCTAACCCGATCTGAATTCTTTTTCTACCCAAACTCCAACCCTTTCTACACATCGTCTCTAAGCTTATTAAAACTCAAGTTTCTGTGTTTGTTTTTTTTTTTTCAAAAACCTTTCTCAAACTGTGACGTACATAAGCACTTCAGCTTCGATGCCTGGCCATTGTTCGAGGATCTCGAGAAGAACAGAGGAATCATTTGTCTTCTAATTATGATTCCAATGGCTTGGCAAAATCAAAGAAGGCGTAATTCGCTCTCACCATCACCGGCCAGGACGTTTTCGGGGCTCCTTAAAGGCGGCAAATCGAATCAAAGAAATAGCAAACAAACAAACAAAAACCACTCAGAACAACGGAAAAGGAGACTCCTCTATGGTATTGTTGACAGGCCGCCGAAAAAAAGGAGACCACAAAATACACTCAGACAAAGGAGCCGAGGAGCTGATTTGCACAAAAGGAGCGGAAAAAGCGATCAAAGAGCCAAACAAAAAGCAAAAGAAAAGAACTCGAAAAAAAAAGCAGGGCCATCATCACATGTCCGACGTGAGGTAAACCCATCTGAAAACCCCCTAAGCAAGCCAAATTCCAAACCAGATCCTTGCGGCCAGCTTAGGACTCTTTTTCCTCTGCTGGTTTCATCTGCTTTGTTGCCACCACATTGCGTCGTCGTCTTTAAGCTCTTTAAGCGAAATAAAAACATTTCACGCCGCAGCAGGAGGTGACTCGAACTCGAGTTTCGATTAACTCAAAGCTGTTGAGGTGGAATATCAATATATCCTTTAAATCAAAACTGCATGTGACCTGAAACGCTTTAATGATATACCCTTGTCGTAATACGTAATATAATATTTGGATAAAATAATTAGTTTTATTATAAATTTTCACTCTATCTCGACCCAAGGCTAAACATTTTTATGTAAAATTTCAACTTTTTATCCATTTTAGTTATTTAAAACACAATGCTTATCAAGTCCAAAGCACTATGTTCGCAGTGGGCCACGTAATCGGAGCAGCCCAGGCCACGCGTGCCCGCATCGGAGGCCTCGTACAGTCCGTCCACGTGCTGTAGTTCTTGCTCTGCAGCACTCGTCGTTGGCCTGCAACAAAATCGGGTTAAAGGATACCATAATTAGTGGCGACCCCTTTGAAGCCACGACAAGTTGGGGAGACTCACATGAATAGAATCTGAAACAGGCTGCCCACCAGTCCGTTTTGGGCATCCAGGGGCGATTCGCTGACCTCGCAGATTGTTCGCAGCAGGCAGGCAGAGCCATTGAATCCATAGTGGGTCAGGAAGTTTATAATACAGCGGTAGAAATCGTGGCGCTTAAAGGGTGGTGGGGATCCCACCGACCGACGCCTTACCTCGTTGTCCTCGTCGTTTATATAGTCTCTTCCATCCTGTCGTGCATTAATCGGTGTGACATTGCCATTAAGGCCCAGGTAGTGATCATCAAGATCCCACTAAGGAAGTATTTTGTTAAGATAGAAGTATCATAAGTTATCTATAAATATTGGAAATGATTTTTAGCCAAACTTACCTCATCAACAAACTGGTTGTATGTGTCATTGTTTGGCAGTCCATAGTTGGACTCAAAGTTGAAGGCCATGTAGACATTTTTGGGTCCAAGTTCCAAAGGAATGGCCACAGCAGCTAGCAACTAAAAACTCATCAAAATTGATTTACCTTAAAGAGATTCTCTTTAATAATACTCACACCAAACGATCCTTGATGTGGAAACACCAGAAAACAATGTGCTAAGCCCAAACCTAAAACCAAGACCACACCCAAATAAACATACCATTGAAAGGCACCCATCTTAGCCGAAGTTCTAAGCCAACTAAAATGCAGTTTGCTAAAATTGCAGGTTGCACAAACGATGGGCGTTAGAATTGGGAGCCCCACTAATAACTGGGTGAGAAGTGGCTTACGGTACTGCCTTAGCTAAGAGAAAGAAACCGGAATATGCAAGATTTACACGGTTACCACATGACCCCGTCTCCAATGGATCGCCGTTGTCTATACCCAACAGGTGCTAATTGCTAGAATGTGTAAAATTCTTAGACGAGAAAGTCTTCTTCAAGCGATTGATGAAGCCGTTTTTATTGAGAAATTAAAATGAAAAACTCGTGAGCAAGAAAAAGAACATCAAGAACATGGATTAGTATCTTAAGACCAGAGCTAGCATAAACACGCACTGAGATTAGCTCGGGCGTAGATCAAAATATAAAAAAGAACACAAAAAATGAAATTTAGCATAGTTATCATATTGGCCAGTTGCCTGATTTACCAGGTTATGGCCTCCCTGGACAGCCTCTCCAAGCATCAGAGGAGTAAAAGAGCTCCCATTCCCTGGCTTATATATCCCACCACATCACCCACTCGTGTTATGGTAAAAAATAATTCAGTTAATAGAAATTCCATTACTAACCTATTTTTATTTTTTCAGTTTATTGGTGGCATAGGTTTTCCTTTGGAGGATCTCAACTATGAAGCTGTGACCACAGGCTATGTATTGAAGGTGGAGTACTGGCTGCCCACCGATCCGGATGAACTGAGAACACCCACAGCATTGCCACTTACACAGGTGGCCACACCTGGCATCACAGGAGCCAGAAAACAGAAGAAACCCATGTTTGAGAACTTTCTAGTGGGAGTAGATGAACTCGGCAAGAACACCAGAAAGTTGCTGACTAGAACCAACAAAGTCTTAAGTAGCTATCGATGGACAGTCTATAAGGGACTAGAGGGATTGGCTGATCGATTGGGATATCAGGGCAGAATTTGTGTCCTAAAAAGCATTTGCGAAGCAGCCGAGGAGCCCTTCCATTACACAAATGGACTCTTTGCGGATCTTCTACATATATTACTGACGTAAGTTAAGAAGGAAAGACATTTTAGGATTACCTAACCATATAGTAATTGACCCTCAACCCACAGACCCTCCTCCTCAGTGGATAAACTGTCAGAACATTCGGATAACGAGTATTACTATGCGGAAAATGTGGGTCAATCGGGCGCTGGCTGTGATCGTGTCTTTAAGGAATGTCGATTAAGTCTGCTCCAACATTTCAGTGAACTCCATCACAACCTGGATAAGATTTTATTTTGAGCCAATAAAGGAAGTGCATAAATGGTACCAAAAACTTTCGTTCAGTGTTCTTTTGTGGCAAATAGGGCTTGGTAAACCAAACTTGTATTGTGCTAATTAAGATGCCGTGATCGTTTTTAGAGGCAGCAAAGCTCAAAGTCTCTGTGGAAAATAATGTTCCCAATTCTGATCGTGACTCAAGTGTGCCATATTGCCAGCATCTAATGACACTTTCGGTTTCCCAATCGAAGAAAGTAAGAAGTTTGATTTCGTAGGCTATTAAAGTGAAAACATTTTGGCGTTTGCTAATTTAGTCAGCAGTCTTCTCTTAAGCGGAGAGGTTATTGCGTATTTTAAGGACTTCATAATGAACTTTCTTCTATCCTTGATTTTAGTTATAAGTTGTGTTCATGTTTTTGGATCTTTTAATAATACTTCGATCCGTCAGAGTGATATTCTAGTAAGAAAGGCCCGATGGTTGCCCTTAATATATCCCAGAGCCAATCCTACTCGATTAGAGGTAAGTAAACTTAAAGTAGCATCAGGACAAATTTAAATTAAAATGTTAATGTTATATTTTCCAGATGATAGCTGGCTTTGGTATACCCGTAGATGACCTTACTGTTGAATCTGTGGTCACAGGTTACGTTCTGAAAGCTCAATATTACTTACCATACTCCGTTAAGCAACTGAGGACCAAGGATGTCCACGAAATCTCTAAAGGAAGGCTGCTGGAGAACGCCACAATCTTCGATAAGGTAATGCAGATGTCTGAACAGAAACTGGGCCTGGATCCTGATATCCTGCAAGAAGATCTTCAGGCCTTCGGCAGCTATCGCTGGTCGGTGTATGAGGCCTTCGCCGCCCTGGCCATTCGCATGAAGCTCAATGGCCGAGTATGTGTCCTGAAGAGCATCTGCGAAAGTGCGGCGGCTCCCTTCGACGATCGAAATGGTTTGCTGGGCGAACTGCTTCACATCCTGCTCACGTGAGTTTATGATCGTGGAATCGGCGTTATGTTAACCTCCTCTCTATCTCCCTTTTAGACCATCCAGTTCTGTGGATCCCTTGGCGGAGCACTCGGACAACGATTACCTGCAGGCTGAGAGATTGGGAGCAGCTGGTAGCGATTGCGATCAGGTGTATCCAAAGTGTCCCAAGTCCCTGCTGGAGCACTTTAGTGATGTACATCATCTGGGCAGTGAGTTCCTTCGCATGTTGGGTTGAGATAGTGGCTTAGATAAGCTGGTCAAATGTGATATTTATAAAAAATAGTTAATTTAATAATTGATTTTAATATTAAAGGATTTTTCGGTAGGCTAACCTAAAGTTTAACTCGTTAATAATTAGATAATGTTTTAATATATTTTTGGAGTTTACCTCCCTATCTTATAGGAATACTTCTTTGTAGAAGATTGCTGCCTTCCGTTTGGGACCTTTTTTTCGACTCTGAGAACAGCGTCGACCCATGGCACTTCCTATCCGGTTGATTTCACCGGCAAGAGCGTGAAATTTATGCAAATATCCACATAATAACTCTTTTTGTTCTCCTGTCCTGGCCTCATCATCATCATCTTCGGATATCTCGCCACGCTCGGGTGGTCTTTTCTCCTCGCCAGCTATCAAAGCGTACGCATCTCCCGACTTGGCCATATCAACCTCTTTAGGGCCTATTGTCTTCTAATTCAATAATTACAGCCCGAGCTTTGGCTACCGGGGAAATGTTTTGAGACCCAGAGATAGAGGTAGACCCACCACCGTCTTGGGATCTTTGCTTATGGTACCTGGGACAAATAGGCGTTTAAATGCAAATGTCTGCGCTGTAATTAATACGCATAATACGCGTATTATGCTAATGCCAATGTCATAATGACTTGAGGAAACCCGAAAAAGAAAGAAAGACCAAAATATGCATTTCACACTCGGCCTAGGGTTTTGGTCGGGCTCAGTCATATATTCATCACTAGGTAGCTGCATAGTTAATGCCCTTACGTACTAATTAGCTTTGACAAAATGTATACAACAGAAAACAAAGCTACTAAAAATTAGTAGCGTGTTGGTTTGGAGAGGGGCGGTGGCTGGAGGGGAGACTTTCTCTAATGAATCCCCAGTTCCCAGACAGAGGCACTTGTCTGCGATGACAAAGTTCCGATAAGAGCTCGGAATATATTTTGACAGGAGTCAACGCTGTCGTCTGGGGTCCAGACCTAGATCGGGATCATGGGGATCCAAAACATAAACTACAGGCGAGATGCACCTTTCACAATTTTCATGTTGTGATTACCTTTAACCCCTTTATGGTCTACGGATCCCCTTTTTTGAAAGAGTAGGGGAAGGGCAATAATTTTCATTTTCATTGCCTTTCTTTGGAAACAATTTGTAGGAACATGCAACTTAACGAAGTAATCAGAGAGGAGGCCAACTCCAGATGCTTATCCGATGCCAGAGAGTCAGCCAGCCAGCGACAACTATTTTATGGCCTTATGTGTGGAGGATGCTGTGTGGCACTCGGCACTCGGTCGCTTTATATGGCTGGGATTGCTATTTTTGGTAACCCTTTTGCTGCCTCTGGGCAGGAAAGTGGGTTACAGTCCTCTACCCCCTCTATAGTCAGGAATTTATGCTGCGTAATAATTCTTGGTCCACAACTAAGTTGGGAAAAAACAATGTAACAAATTGTTGTGCTCGTACCTGGGAGAAGCTGCGTATGCAAATTCACCGACTGCAAATGCCAGCTATGTCACTATGTTGCCCCAAATGGGGTGGACACACCGGTGACCCCGACCCCTGGCATCATCACTAACTAACCCACTTCCACCCATTAATTTCCCATCAACTGGGCGGGTTTTTTTTTACTGGGCTTTTATCTCTCAATTCGAAATGACTTTTGATGGCATTTCCACTTGATCTATATCGCTACTAGAGTTTAACGGTCACAAACGTTTCCCTAAGGGTCACATTAAATTACCTAGATTTTATCGTAGATTTTCGTATATTTCATGCTAATTAAAACGCCAAGATATTTGTTTAGCGATAAACAATAATTAATTGTGCTTATTTCTTATTTCTCTTAGTTCTCCACCTGCTTTCCCCTACATCCAAGCTTCCACTGATTGAGTTGTATCTATGTGGAATCAGTTTCAGTTGGTTTCGGGCGCAATAAACCAAATCAAACCGTGGGATGGATGGTGCCCCTTTCTGGGTTTACTCCTCCACCACCGCCATCATGACGTATGCACATTGTCATCATAACTCTGGCCATTGTCTCTGATTCCGACTCCCAGATATACATATACATATTTTTTCTTTACTTTGCATAATGCCGTCTGGGGATGAGTGAGTTTTTGCGAGGGCGTGTGTGTGAACTGCAGTTTATTATTTAAACAACGTGACTAAATTTACGTAGTGCCAAAGGAGAGTGAGATTCTGGTGGAGAAAAACACCCGCAGGTGGTAAAACAATAATAGTAAACGTTTGCACAATGGAACATGCCATATGTGTATATGGAGGGTGGCGAAAATAATGGATGCTTAAAATTAAATTTTGAGGGCAGTGATATTGGTTTAAAACTAACAAAAATAAAAAAATTAAAAGACGATTGGGGTATGCAATATTTTAAAAAATTAAAATATTTCAAGCGTCGTACTGAATGTGCTGTTCTCTTCTGTGGTCAAAAAAGGAACTGTTCTTTATTCCTTTATCTTATTCTCTTTTATCCTAATTTGAACAAGTATTAGTGACATTTGTAATCGTGCGAACAGGACACACATAGTGTTCGTAAGCATGGTCTTGTAAAAGTAAGGGAGAGGAATACATTCTTAGCTTACAACTGTGTATAGATAAGTTAGTGTGACCGCCTGCTACAATATACTGCTCCGAAGTTTTGCTTTGCCAAAACTTACAGAATAAAAAGTGTTTAATAACAAAAACTTTTGACTAGATGTATTTTATATTGTTAATAAATATATATTTCCGAAAAATACGTTTTTCCCCAATGTGCATAGCTGTGGCTTGGCATATGCAAAGTGAGCGTGGCTTTGGCCCCAGACAATTTTCGCATGATAAATCGTTAAAGGAATATGAAAAAAGAAACCCGTGAATTGTAACAGAAATAACATACAAAAAGCGACCCATGGCTGGAGGGCAAAAGTGCGATGAAGAAGAGAAGATACCAAAAGGGGGTCGAACTGGTAGGGCCTCACCTGATACCCCTCACCACCGTCCCTGTCCTTTGTTTATGCAAAAAGCTTCGCGGAATTGGCGCTACGTACGTGCCAAAGCATTTCATGGTCTGGCAACTTAATTCACCAGGATAGCCCCACTTCCCTCCCTCTTCATTCGAAACCATATGTTTCGAGGTGCTGCCACCTTGTTCGCCACCCATGCGGGTTCCATTTCCATTCATCTTCTGTTTGCCGGTGTCTGTGCTAGTGTTTGTTTTCCACTGGAAGCCCATACTTCTTGCCCAACCTCAGCTTTTCTCCGGCGCTCACGTGTAAATTTTCTCAAATAAATCATTAAAAGCTGCGCAGCAGCCACAGCACATTGACATTGTCAGAGGCTTTGCACCCACTCAGGGGGACAAGACCCCCCCTCTGTGCGCCGGTGGAGACCCCCTTTTTTGGAGACCCTTTCTTCCGGCCTCTATCTTTCGGAAGGCCGCTCTTTTGATAGCAATCAACGGGGGAGCGCTCATTGTGAGTGCTCGAGTCCCTTACTCATCCTCATCCAGATGCTCAGGTGCATCTATTCATAGATCCTTTTGATTCCTTCATAAAGCGTCGTGCCATTGCACTCACCTTTTATCTAACGGTGGGTGTTAGAGGGTGTGCGTGTCTGTGTGAGTGTGAAGAGGTTAGTTAGTGGCACTTTAGCGCTAAAGTTTATACATAAATTTGTCATTGGCATTCAGTTGCCTCGCATCTCTTCCAGCTGCCACCTACGTCATGTGTGCACTTTCCTGCACAGAGGGAAAAATGTCAATCTAAATGGGAATAAGGTCAGCAAGGGGTCAATTTTAAACTGTATGTAAATGATATATTAAACATAATTTAATAAAAGGAATAGATTTAAGCTGAATATACTTTTTATTATGTAATTTATAACATTTTAAATACTTAAAATTATTATTTTTTTTCAAGTAAAAAACATTGCATATTCCCTGTGTACGCCTTGGGCAAACATATGTCTGGGCTTTTCTTCGTGCAGCTTTTCATGGCTATGCATTCAGGTTGTGTTTTCCTTTGATATTATTTTAGACTTCCTTTTGGGGTGGTGCCTTTTAATTAAATCTAAAGACTTCCTAAGGAAAACCCCGGTGCACGCGTTATGCCACCTTAACAACTCATTTTTCAAACTGCCACCCTTGTTCGCATAATTTACAAGAAATCTGTTATTGTCTTATTAAGCGGGGCGAACTCTGCCTTGGCGCCATATGGCGTCAGATGCTTGGCAAATTGAGCGATCGTCGATGACTTGGCGCCTTCCCAAAAAAAAAAAAATAGAAAAGAAAACCAAAAACCGCATCGCGACACGAACATAAATAAATAATCGAAATGGAAAAGCGTGTCGAATGGGCCACAGCTGTGGCCGGGAAAATTCAAGGGCGGGGTGTCGAGCAATTTGCAATGCCCTTGCTTTTCCATTTTTATTGCACAATCAAGTGCTGCAGTTGCAAAGAGGGCGCCGCCACGCCCCACTTCACGCATCGGGCCCACACACACCTTTGAACGTTAAATGTGCCGAACTTCACACCCATCTCCTCTAGAATCTAGAACTGATTACACTGGGGAAAATAATGTGTGATTTGAAAGAGAAATTAATGAAAAAATTGATTTCTTTTTGGGGATTTCAGTTTAATTTTTTTTAATTTTAGACTACTTAAAGTAACTTTTATATTTCCAAATCACAATTATAGCTCATTTTCTTCAAGTGTCGAAGGAGATTCACCAATAGACACTGCTAGCATGATTCGGGGAATGGTTTTCGATGGATGAGTTGAAGGGCAGGGCGATGAGAATGAGAATGACTGTGCCTAATGCGCGGTCTGCACTTGAGTTCTGTTTGCTTAACTCCGTCCGATGCTCATCATTGATGTTCGGATGAAATAAATTAAGAATTTTAATGCGGAAAAAAACAAAGGGAATAGACTTAGAGAGAGAGAGAGGAGAGCCCAAAGACCCACGGCCGAGACACGACTTCATGCTTAATCAAAATGTGTTGTAGGGCAGCGCCTCTCTTTCGCCCTGCGATTG